ATCTCTTTATGTGACCCCCACAAGAAACCCACTGTATCCTGGAAAGAAACATTGGCCTCTGAAAGACGGCAAATACCTTTACTTTATTAATGACAATGGGTTATATTGCTTATAAGTGGAGAACTGAGAATTTTCATTTATTTAAGTTTGCCATCAACATGTGGTGGCTTGTCTCAAAAAACAATAACCTGCAAGAATACCATTCTGCAGTTTGGTTTGTAGATAGAATAAATTTTCCATACTAATTTAGAAGTTGGGCATATGAATTGTTAGTTAAGCATTTATTGATCTTTGTCTTTTATGTGAACTTGAAAACCAGATGCCTCATCATTGAAAACACTTTCAGCTCTAAAATGCCTAAGTTCCGGGTAAGTTCCTGGAAGAACGCTGGAAGGAAGCGTTACACTCACACACACATTTTTGTTTTCATTGAAAATCGATTTTTTCATATAATATATTCTGATTACAGTTTCCCCTCTCCCAGATCTCCCCACTACCCCACCCAAATCTTCACCATTCCTTTCTCTCACTAGAATACAAACAAGCACCTAAGAAGATAATGCAATAAGATAAAATAAAAACAAGTCAGGATCAAACAAAATAAACAAATGGGGGGGGGAAAAGTCAAAGAAAAAGCTCAAGGGGCTGGAGAGATGGCTCAGAGGTTAAGAGCATTGCCTGCTCTTCCAAAGGTCCTGAGTTCAATTCCCAGCAACCACATGGTGGCTCACAACCATCTGTAATGAGGCCTGGTGCCCTCTTCTGGACTGAAGAAAGAATACTGTATACATAATGAGCAAATAAATAAATATTTAAAAAAAAAAACAAAAAACAAAAAAAAAAGAAAAAGAAAAAGCTCAATAAACACATACAGATGCAGGAACACAGTCACACACAGAGAAAACAAAACCGGAAGCCACGTGTGTAAGGTAAACATCTGAGTGGAGGAGGGGGAGACAGCATTGTGAAACAAATCCTCCAAAAACTATGGGTGAGTTCCCTTTGTGGGGGCCGTCTACTGATGAGCATGGGGCCTGCCCTTCCGTGTGGTTTGTGTACCTAAGTGAGACTCAATTGGAGAAAAGTGGTTCTTCCTTTCTAAGTGGTTATTAATTCAAGATTCTTCTGGATTATATAAGGATGGGAGCTTATTCCTGTTTCCTCCCTCAGCAACAGGGCCTCATCTGGCTCAGACCTGGTCAGGCCCTGTGCATGCTGCCACAGTCTCTGTGAGTTCATCCGTCATACACAGTTTTAAGCATGGACCTAGTGCCAATGACCTGGCACAGAAACATAAATATTTGCTTATTTTAAACTGATAATCTATTCATCTTTATTCTTTTCAAAAGCAAGAACTCAAAATAGTACACATACATGTGCACATGTGTGTGTGTGTGTGCTCACACGCACACGCTTTCTCTACTTTTTTGTTTTTTTGAGACAGGCTCTCTCACTGAACCTGGGGTCCTCAAATCTGACTAGACTGGCTAGGCAGCAAGCTGCAGGAATCCGACTGATGCCCCAGTGCTGAGCTGCAGTGAACAGCTGCTGAATGCAGCTTTGGACACGGATACTGAGGATCCAGACTTAGGTCTGCATACTTGTGTTCACTGACTGAACCACCTCCCCCTCCGTAGCCCCCACTTTGACCTGACTGTCAAGAATGACTTTGATCTGGGGAGGTGATAGACTAGGTTTGATGACAGTTCCAGACTGTCTTCTGAAGAAAAGCATGCACAGAGAAAGTTTTACATGTAGTACTTCCGATCACGCTGGGCCTGGCCCACCTATATAGGACCTTGCCCTGCATCTTGTGACCGGTGGCCGGACTTCATCTTTTTGCTGAAAAATCTGAATGTTGTAATCTCTGGCGTTAGCACAGCTCTCAACGGAGAGTTTCATTTTATTCTGCACTGTGATATTTCCAGCCAGACAGAAGCATTTGTTGAGTCCTTCACCATGATGTCTGTTTAAGACGCTGATAATCATGAGGGAAGCAGCCATAGAGCTGTGTGAAATGCTTACGGGTAGAAGCTGGTTTTCATCAGGCTGTTGCCCTTATTAAAGAAAACCCTGTATATTGTCTTAAACTGCAGTGTCCTTTGTGTCTTAAGATATAAATACTTAATCCATTTTCTGAGTAAAGTTAATTCATGGCAGCATTCAGATTCTTTTCGAAAAATTGAAACCTGGCTTTAATTCCATTTAGCAATAATTGATGGGTTTAAATAATAGGCACACGCCATGTGATGGTTAAACTTTTCAAAAGTGTTTGGGAAACTAGTAACACTGGTGAAATCATTGCTTTTACTTACAGCTTAAATCCTTTATTGTTTGTAGTTAATGGCTGTCTAGTGTGTAAAGCCCTTTACTAGACTTTGTTCTACATGGAAAGGAAAAAAGTCCAAATGGCTCCAGTCCCACCAATCAAGTGAGCCCTTCTCTCACAGAAGGGGAGTAGAAGTGAATGTTAATAGTAAGTGTGGAGAGAGAAATATGTGAGCAATGGGGCCGGGGAAGCCAGGAAGGCCTTGGCAAGCTCAGCAAGCAGGACCCTAGTGGATAAACAGTAGTTGCTTGAATTTAAAAGGCCTTTGCAGAGCCTTCTTCTGTTCTTTTTATTTTCCTGAACTCTATTCCTAATTCCACCTAAACGCCTGGGAGAACATAACTTGCCACAGTCCCCAAGGTCGACTAGAATACACAGGAGAAACAAGCAAGAAGCAGGCAAGCATGTGGAACCGGGGTGTGTGTGTGGGGGGGTTAACCCGTCTAGAAGAAATCAGCAGAGTTGATCTGGGCCGCGTTTAAGTCTCTACTGCAAATCCAGTGGGGAGAGTGTTTTGGCCAAGATCGTCCTTGGCTCTGTCCTCATCATAGCCCATTGCTCCTGATGCAGGGACAGTGGCCACACCAGGTTCTTTCTGCCCACAGCAGTGAAAGCTTCCTTTCTGTGATCCGGTACTCACATGACATTTGAGGTGTGAGCGTGGTTACTGGTGAGGGTTTTTAGGACCAACCGGCCAGGCCATGAGACTCTTCACCCCTACCAGCTGTGTCGTTTGACCATGCTGCTTGGCACTTAGCTCACAAAAGGAAGAGCTAACAGAAGCACCTAGTCTTGAGGCTTGCTGTTAACGTGGCCTTTGGCCCATTCCTAGCCATCATCATCGCTGCCATTTGAAGTCAAAGCAGTTGGGCTCCGAGGTTAATTAACTTGCCCCATTTCACACACAGTCTGCCCTAGAGCCTGGGGCTTCCTCTGAGCCTTGCTGCACACTCTGAACACAGAATACATCCATGGTGAACTGAACAGAATTTCAGAATTGCATTTTCAGATTTCATCACAGACAAACCTGTTTTACATGTGTTCTCTGTTGGTGACCCTATCCACTTCTAGACTTTTATTTGTCATGTGATTCAAGGTTGCCAGTAACACATTTTGGGACCTGTTGTCTGTAAATTAGGTTTTATTGGAACAGCAGTGCCTTTGTTGGCCAGCTATGTCTCACAGCCACCTTTGCTCTGCAGTGGCAGCGTTGGAGTTGGGAGGGAATGGGTGGCCTCCACAACCTGAAAGATGTATGCCCTGGCCATTTACAGAAAATTGATGAGCTTCCTAATCTCACTTATATTTTAATCTTTCCTCCTGAGGTCTTGGTCCTTAAATTTTAGACATCCATTAATTCTTCTACCTCCATATCCCATGCCCTCCTTAAAATCAGCATCGACCAGATGGTTCACATTTATTGTCCACTGGAGTAAATTCCTCCTGAGCTTCCCATCCCAGCTAAGGACACTACCGTATGTCAGCATGCCGTCTTCCTTCTCACTGCCTGTGACCAGTCTGCCATGAATGCTTGTCTGTTCATTATCCTAAATGCATGATCCACTTGAGAACACTGGATTGGACTTTTAATGTGCCACTGTTTCCCATTCCGATGTGCTCAGGCCAGAGCCCGGAAGTTCCTCTCCAGAAGGTATTATCAAATAATAGCTGTTGGTGCATCTCTGTCATGGGAGATAGGTCTATCACAGAGTTGTAGACATGCTTTTCAAGTAAAAATTTGGAATGGTAGGCAGAATATTCTTAAGCCTATAGTTTCTTTACCTGAGAGGAAAGGGGTTATCCAACTGGTCGAGTTTGCACTTCAAACCATTTATTTAGTGCTTTGACTGGAATCTCTGCTGTTTGATGCAAGGTCTCCTTCACTGAGGGTAACGAGTTAAACCCTTAACGTGACATTATCATCTTTCTTGTTCATCCAAAGAGCGGAGGCAGACGATAATTTTGATCCTCATCAGAATTACTGGAATAATATTGTAAAACTCATGATATTATTAGCTCTGCTTATTCTCTTATGAATTTAAATTATTCTCTGATAACTGGTAAAGAGCACCGAGGAATATTGCACAAATAAGCTTGAAACAAAGGGATTAGTGGGTAATTAATATCCACTCAGTGCCTTAGCAGCTTTGATCTCGGTATTTGTTTTATCCAGCAAATATTTTCATAGTGCCTTAATCTCAGCCTCTATTTGAAACTTAGGCAGGAGTTGTCTTTGTTTTCCGAGAACAGCAGAGATGTTGACAGCACTTATGTGTAGAGCTGAGACCATAAATTAATTCTGATTCTCCCAGCAAAGATATTGGTCTTTGTGAAACATAAAAATAACCTCAAGAATAGCAGGTCCATGTGCCAAACAATGATCTTTAAAGACTCATATTTTCCTTTATTGGGGATAATATAATACATCTATAAGCTCCCCAAATCCTCCCTGGAGTTTTAATTATCTGTAGACTTTCAAAGATATATTTTGATCAGACATGTAAAGAAAAAGTATAACTTGATTACTGTCAAATTAAGGATGATTTCACATCCTGGTTCAGAGAAAGCTGCCACCCACCATCAGACTTCAGGATTGCTGAAACTCGGAAAGAAAATAGCAAGAGTTTGTGGATGTTAAGCTAATACAGCGATTCAGTGCCCTTTGAGAAACGCTGCCTTCTGTCGTGGTGGCAGCTGCTGCTGTCACTGTGTCCTTGTTTGTAAGCTGGTGACCCTGTAAGACCTCCCATCTACCTGGCAGGCAGCTCTCCAAGACTCACTACTGGATCACACAAGTAGGAATAGGAGCTTGCAGGTCTGCAGTACCATCCAGTGGTCATCTAGAACAAAAAAAAAGCTTGTGTTCATTTATTTATTTTTGCAGTACTGAGGGTTGAACCTAAGGACCTCTCTACATGCTAGGCAAGTGCTCTGCCACTGAGCTACACCCCAGGCTTTTTTTTTTTTTTGAGATAGAGTTAGCTATGTAGTACTGGCGATCCAGAACTTGCTGTGTAGACCAGGCTTGCCTCTGCTGTAGAATTCACAGAGATCCTCTTGCCTCTACTGTCAAGGACTGGGATTAAAGGTGTATACCACCATGCCCAGCTATTTTTTATTTTGAGACAAGATCTTTCTAAGGATCCCAAACTGTGCTCCTTCTGAATTCCAGATGGCCTTGAACTTGAGGTCTTCCTGCCTCAACCTCCTGGATAGCTGGAGTCATAACCGTGCATCATCAGCCCCTACTCCCAATGATTTTGTTGTCAAGAGCTAGAGAGTTTGATCAGTGGCTAGAGCATGGCCTTAGACTAGTCACTTTGTGCTTAAAGTGGAAAGGAATGCCTGTTTCATAAGAGGTGTGATGGGAAGCACAGGGAGAATTCTGCAAGACATCAGGTGCACAGTCGGTTCTGGGAACACTGTAGTGATGGTGACTGTTGACACTGTTGTCATCAACATTGTGTCTGAGGCCAAGACATCAGGTGCACAGTTGGTTCTGGGAACACCGTAGTGATGGTGACTGTTGACGCTGTTGTCATCAACATTGTGTCTGAGGCCAAGACATCAGGTGCACAGTTGGTTCTGGGAACACTGTAGTGATGGTGACTGTTGACGCTGTTGTCATCAACATTGTGTCTGAGGCTTATTCTAATTATACAACATTTGTATTCGGTGTTCATATATTTTCCTTGTCACCTAGAGATGCTCCAGTCAGAGGTGGAAGAGTCACATCACTCTCAATAGGGAAGTAGTGCTTCTCTAGGATGCTAAATGCTCTGCACAAATATATATATATATGAAAGTTATTCACAACAGTTTGTTTTTAAAAAATGGAAGCTGCTTGCTTTGGCACAATGAAGTGACTAGGGATATGAAGATGCACAATAAACAGTGATGTGGCCTGGGAGAGCTGACTCCATCCCTCACTAGCCATGGCAACAGAAGACCTGGTCCTGTCCCTCACCCCTGACCATGGGCCTGGGAGAGCTGACCCTGATGGCAAGGCCATAGAAGAGCTGGCTACCCATTGCCAGAGGGGTCAGCCTAAGTGGCCCAGACTGACCCATATCCAGGTTTTAAGTTGGCCCACTCTATTATCTATCCACCCATCAATGACCTGCTGGAGCGCATGAAGGGACTCGTCCTGCAGAACTACAGCTGCAGTATCTCCATGACTCAGGGCCTCAGCAGGACATCCAAGAGGAGTTTTAATGAGGGTTCAGAATTGATGCTATACGAGGAACCAGAGTACCAACAACTCATTGCAATGAGTTTGCGAGTAAAGCTGTTTGAGTGACTGATATACAGAAGCTCCCATGCCATCACAATTACTGAGTGTGCAGTGGTGGGGCGGGAAAGACGGAGGAGCGAAGTGGACAAGCCCGGGGAACTGGAGACACGACAGCTGTGTGACTGTAGATGGAGGAGCAGGTCGTTGCTCAGAGGGTCGGCAAGATTTTTAATTTTAATAAATTTAATTTTTAATTTTTTTTGTTGGGCAAGTTTACAAGGGTGGAGGGCAGATATGGAAGGGCTGGAAGGTAGCTGGGATTGGAGTATATGATGTGAAATTCCCAAAGAATCAATAAAAAAAATTAAGTTTAAAAAATACACCGTAGTTCATAATTTTTAGAATGGTATTCAGGGTCTGTTTCAACACATGGAAAAGAACCTTTGACATATGTCCTGGTTAGTATTTTGCCAGCTTGGTATAAGCTAGAGTCTTCTGGGATGAGCAAATATCAGTTGAGGAATTGCTTCCAAACAGATTTGCCTGTAGACTGGTCTGCCATACACTTTCCTGATGTGGGAGGACCCCGCCCACTGTGGGCATTTCTACCCCTGGCCAGGTGGCTCTGCATTGTATCTAAAAGCAGAGTAACCATGTGGAGCAAACCAGTAAGCAGCAGCCCTCTGTAGTCTGCCTCAGCTCCTGCATCCAGGTTCCTACCTTGAGTTCCGGCCCTTACTTTCTTCCGTGACGGAGGACGGATAAGCCATATGAACCCTTTCCAAGTCCCTGTTGGTCAGAATGCTCTGTCTCATCATCAGAGAGCAGCTAGGACAGCATCTCGACTGAGAAGAACAGCTAACATTACAGAGTAGCTGGCAGAAGCTTGACTGATGTCTCTGTGAAAGGTCAAAAAGCAATGTTAGACTTCAGAAGCATTCATTGCTTTCTGTAAAGTTGTGTAACTTTATAGACTGTAGGATTTGTCTCAAGGTGCCCTTATTACCTTTGTTCCCTCATCTTTCTAACGAGGAGTGGTCTGGTGCTCCTGGTGGCAGATTTGGAAACTTCTGAAATAAAACCCTCCCTTTAGCCCTCTTCTCACCTTATTCTTTAAAAGTTTTTTCTATACGTTGCTAAAGCCTTATATATGTAAAATAAGCTAGCAACCATGGGAGACCTGAGTGGAAGACTTGGAATTCTACTTAATATTTAAAAAAAAAAAAAAAAAAAAAAAAACACCCACGGCAGATGCATCCTCTGCAGGTACTGGTGTGAGAGTTTGGGACTCGGTGACTTCTCAGAGCCTAAGTGCTGTGCGCGGACTCAGACAGGGGTTTCTATAAACCAGGCTTCTCAGACGTCTCATTTTCCTATTCCTCTTATTGCATCTAGCAGGGACTGCACTGTGGTAAGTGCTCGTTTCTCCTGTGCCCGTGACCTGTCAGGTCACCCAGCACAGCAGCAGGGGTAGGAGGAATGTAATGGAATCAGAATCAGTCATGGCTGACTGACTCAAGACACCTACTTTTTTCTTTTCATTGGTTTATGGGTTTCTCACTATGGTGCCTGCTTATCTGTTGTTTGAGTTCCCACCTGGAGGGGATGTCTGCCTTATGTATTGTTAATAACCTGTGGACAAAGTAGGATAAAAGCAGTGTGGGAGACCCATCATATTGGTATCCACTGTCATCCCAGTGCTCAGGAGGCTGAGGTAGAAGAAGAGTGAGTTTGATGCCAGCCTGGACTACATTTAAAAAAAAAAAAAAACAAAACCAAAAAACCAAAAACCACCTCCAGGTACTTTTTCCTTTGGCTTCATGACTGTATTCGTCCTCTGTCGCATGCCTTGGCACTCTGCGATGGCTGCCCTTGTGAAAAAAAGACCTCAAATTAAAGTTCTGACCTGAGAAGAAGAGAGAGGCCTTGGGGCCTTAGATTCCTGTGACCTCGGATACGTAAAGCTTACAGCTTAATTTCAAATAGTTCTCGCTATGGATGCTTAAACCTATGGTTTGTTTCATTAGATAAATTATGAGATTTGGGCACACAATGTAGATCATTTCTGTGATTAAATTCTCATCCACTTGCTAGACAATTAAATGCTTTATTGTAAAACGTGAAAGGACTTTTTTAGTTTGGAATCTCAGTTTTAATTGAAGCACCATCATGGTTTCTAGTTTGAGCATTGAGGAGGAACAGTAAGCCACGTGCTTAAGTTTTAAAGCAAATGATTAAGCTTCATTAACTTTAAGGCACCTTTCCTTTGGGTTTTTTTGGCGCAGGGGTTATTTATTGTTTATACACAAATAAAACTAAATGTGTACATAGACCGCCATGTGCCTGTTGATTTGGTCCTATGTTAAATAGGGTCAGCGGCATCAAGACAGGAGAGCCATAGCCTTTGTCCAAGCCCCAGCAAGGGGTTTGTTACACAGCAGGGGCTCAGAAGTAACAAACCAGTCTCCAGGCGAGTAATCAGCTGCAGAAAGTTGGCTCTGGCTAGGGTGCCAGTCCTCGGAGTGTTGTTGAACCGCTGAGCCTCAGTTTCCCTATTTGCACAGAAGTGTGTGGCAGTGTTTGTTTTGCTATTTTAAAGGATTGGGAGGCAGAGACTCCAGGGGAATGTTGGCTTACTTCTGAGCTTTGGATGACGCTGGTTCTGGGAGTCCTCCTCTGTGTTGTTTCTGTGTGATATTCACTGCATGCCAATGTCATGCTAGTTCTAGCATCCCGCTGCCGTTCAGCAAATGCACATTGACGCTTCAGAAGCTAATATTATGATACTAAATTTGAGGAAAATGGTGATTTCTTCTCAATTATTTGACTTACAAACACTAGTTGGACATAATTACAATTCCTTTTTGTTTTTTATGGGGAATTACTCAGAATCGTATATACTTATGATTAAATTATTTCTCTCTGTACATTAAAAGCTTTTATTCATAGACGAATGAGTATAAAATTATTATGGAGGTCTAAGATAGATAGATGAAAGTTTGGCATTTAATGGATCGCTGTCACTGCACAGGACATTAGATCAGGACAAGTGTCGCACAGAACTTACTCTTAGATATGCAGCCTCTTTAATGATAGGGTTTACATGAAATGAAATCTTGCAGGCTTCGATGAAGAAAATCAATCAGCCTGTGCCGTGTCTTCTATTCGCTCTCTGGCTCAGTGTGCAATTAGATTTACTGCACAGGATCACAGTATGTGGCATATATACTCACCCTGCCCATATTAATTTTCTAGTCTCCCCGCTGAAAAGTAATGCCAGAAATGGACTAATAAAGTCATAACCGTTAGCCAGAGTCACAAGCGTTACGGTTCTGTTTTGTTTTATTTTCAGCCTTTTCTGTATATTTTTAGCTGATATGTCAATGATTGAACCCATCTGAGTTCACTTTAGTCATGTGCTGTCAGGGAGTGCAGAACTACAGAGACTATCAACATATGGCCCAACATACTGTCCAGGCAGGAAAATAAGACGCAATCTCACACCACTCTTTAAAGCGTCCTGTCAGTATGTGCGTTCATATAGTGGGTCTGGATGAAAGCGTTGGCAAAGACACTCCTCAGACATGTTGCTAAGCTCTGAGAAACATTAATAGATGGAATAAAATCACGGACAGGTGAGGCCCAAACACTGTCCGTTGCTAGCAGCAGCCAGGCTGGAGACCAGGTTTTATTTGTTCTACTATGGAACCCCAGCTTGAAGCACAAGCCACAGTGGCTTGCACAGACCTTCCCCTCATCCCAGAAGAGCAACTCAGATTATGGTTCAGAGAATAGAAAAGAGCTGGTCTCTCTAGAGGGCAGCCCCACTCCCAAAAGAAGCAGCACTTCCTCAGATAATTCCCCAAAGCGTCTCTTCAGCTCCAGTAGATGGAGCTAATGAAGATATGGGTCTGTGTGCCTGGTATGGGGGTGGGGAGAATCCGCCCTCTACACACCAGGTAATAGAACATTGCTGTCACATGAAACTGCATAGAAATTAAAGACAGGGAAAGAGTGAGCCTTACCAAGAATGTCAGGGGCACATGTGTAGAGAAACATCCCAGGCATGGCTCTCTCAGCAGTGATACATGCACGGGAGTAACTGTTAGAAAGAGCCGAGGCGGGTGGAGCGCGTGAGAACTGGGGAGCTGCTTCCTTACCTAGAGGCATCAGCAGTAGCACAGGGCATTTCTTTGCGAAGGTTTTGTTGCTGTTGTGTTATTGGATGCCAGCATGCTGCTCTCTGAGAATATTTTTGTATATATGCATAGTTTTCTCTGTAGTTTATCTTGGTCAATGCCATGTGGCTAGAAACTTTCCAATTATCCTTTGAACTTTGTAACTGATCATTAGATTTCACTAGCAAAGAGCCCATAATTTTTGGAGTGTATGATCATAAGGACATGCTGCAGAAAGAGATTGTTTCCTCCTTTTCCCCGATAAAAGTGATGTTCGTGGTTATGTTAGAAGAGAGGATTAACTATGAGATAGACATCAAATTGTGGTTTGTAAGTATATGTCTGTCAGTCCAGGCAGACTAAGTGGTGTGTTTGGGTAACTCAGGGAAAAGTCCAGATACATTCCCAGGGCAGGTACCGACTGATGTTAAAGGTTGCTGCTTCTGCCTAAGTGAGGGTTATGTTGAATTTGTTGAAGATTGAGTCCTTTGACAAGGAGCTTCAAAGAGTCATAAGATAACCACAAATGGTCAGTCATGAGATAACCTATTGATTTTGTCATTCTTCCCAGTGAGTCATGCCCAAAGATGTCACTAAAGGAAACAAAACAAAATCAGCCTTTAATAATATGAGACTGTAAGATAGGCCATCTGACATGAAGCCATAGTTAACTCTTTGCTGAATGCTTATTAGCAATGCTTTGCAAGGAAGATAAAGTTGTGGGGTGTGGGGTAAACAAAGTCCCCAGCTCCTTCCCTGAAGATCTTCCTGGGAGGATATGGCAGGCAGTCACATGCTGTATGGTAAATACAAGACACCGTGTGATTAAGGGCCAGGTTGTCTATTCCAGACCTCTCCTTATTTGTTCTAAAAGCTTCGTGCAGAGTTCTGTATCATGGGAACCTGACTGTCTTGACTTAGGCCAGAGATCTAGAGACTTGCTGTTTATGGAACCAGCCTGGCCTGCACTGTCTGGGTTGTGTGGTTCCCTTCCTGGCTCTCTTTGATCTTCACTAGATCGCAACTGACTGGATCCAGGGTCTCTGTAGCGACAGAGAAGAAAGAGAGAGGGATGCTGTAAACAAAGGCAGCCTATATCGCCTAGCTTCCGCGCTCCACCTGGGCAGTAGACAGGGTGAGTGGGCCTGATGTGCCAGCTTTTCTTTAGGAGACTACACACAGTACAGGCTGTGGTAACTTTGTTTTCTCTTACTACAAGAGATCTATTTTATTTGCCGATATGCGTGTGTGCTTATGAAAAACACCAACTTGCTGGAATGGCAGTTTTGTGACTGTGACGAATTTAATAAACCATTTGTGCTGGCTAGTTTACGTCAGCTTGATACCAGCCAGAGTCCTGTGAAAGGAGGAACCTCAGTCGAGAAATGTCTCCGTAACATCAGGCTGTAGGCAAGCCTGTGGGGCATTTTCTTAATCAGTGATTAATGTGAGAGGGCCCAGCCCGTTATGGGTAGCCGTATCCCCGGGCTGCTGGTCTTGGGGTCTATCAGTAAGCAAGCTGAGCAGGCTGAGCAGGCCAGTAAGCAGCTCCCCTCCACAGCCTCTGCATCAGCTTCTGACTCCGGGTTCCTGCCCTGTCCTGATGTCCTCCTATGATGAACAGCAGTATAGAAGGGTAAGCCAAATAAAATCTCTCCTCCCCAATTGGCTTCTGGTCATGGTGTTCATCACAGCAACAAAAGCCTATGTAAGACATCATTCCGTTTTTTTTTTTAAAAAAAATAATTTATTTTCTCACACAATATATTCTCTTTATAGTTCCTCTCCCTCTTCTGCTCTCAGTTCCTCCCCACCTCTCCTCCCCTTTCAAAAAGAACAGGCTTCTAAGAGATAACAACCAAACGTGACTAAATAAAATATAATAAGATGAAGCAAGAACTTTCATATGGAAGTTGAACATGTCATCCCAACAGGAGGAAAAGAGTCCCAAGAGCAGGCAATAGTCTGAGACTCACTTATTCTCACAGTCAGGGAACATAAAAATACTAAGCTAATATATGTGTGTGTGTGTGTGTGTGTGTGTGTGTGTGTGTGTGTGTATACACACACCTGATGTAGACCCATGTCTACCCTGTGTTCGCTGTGTCAGTCTCTGTGAGCTCATATGCACCTTGCTTAGTTGATTCAGAGGGCTGTGTTCTCCTGGTATGCTCCATCCACTCTGAGACTCCATTCTTAGAAAAGAAAGCTATAGAGGTAGCATTCTCACGTCATATCGTGCCTTCATTTTCAGCATCCAGCACGCGGCTGTCAGTGTAGCCAGAGGCTTGCAACCATCCAGTCAGCTTTAGAGCATTCTCATGAACTGCCCTGCTGTCCTCCCGCCCACCCACAAGTGTCTCCTCCTCAGCCTACGCTAAGCAGCCTCTGATTAGATTCTGTCTCGATGGGACACACAAGACAACCCTTTCTACACACTCACCTGTGATGGTTGTAGCTGTGAGAGTTTGCTGAATCTACTGGAAAGGCGTGCAGTCTGCCTGTGACTGATTGGAAGATCGCGCATCACCGGGATAACAACATGTAGGAAGGTACTTTTCAGGCACTGCCATGTGTACCTCAGCCATTTGTTCTATCTCTTCACATGAGTGCTTTTAACAGGATAAAATCTGCAATAAATTGCTTATTGATTTTATATTTTTAGGCCTCTGGTATACTAGTTAGCAAAAGCCCCTGGGACTTCTGTGTATCAAATTTGAAGGGATAACTCCACCCTTCTGAGAGGTTACAGCACCATAGGGTAGGGATGGATTTACAAAAAAAAAAAAATGAGTATGAAATAATGTCAGGATGCTCTTAACAGCACAGCGCTTATGGGAGGGACAGTCACTTCAAATGGAGACTTGTGGGGCAGGCACTCAGCAGCAGCTGCTACAGAGGTAGCCTGCAGACTGCTGATACGTTCGGAAGGCGAGGCGAAGGACCAGAGTGCTCAAACATGTGGAGATGGAGCACACTGTAGAGTGATCAAACATGTGGAGATGGAGCACACTGTAGAGTGATCAAACATGCGAAGATAGAGCACACTGTAGAGTACTCAAACATATGAAGATGGAGCACACTGTAGAGTGCTCAAACATGTGGAGATAGAGCACACTGTAGAGTGCTCAGACATGTGAAGGTACAGCACACTGTAGAGTGCTCAAACATGCGAAGATAGAGCACACTGTAGAGTGCTCAGACATGTGAAG